TAAAAATTTAGTTCATGTAACCAATGTCAATTTTTCTCGAGTTTGGACTGAGAAAAAACGTTTGAAATTTCAGTCGCATCCTACGTAGTTGGAGGCGTAGAATTGATTCCGCACGGTCCTGACTCTCGGCGAAGCTCCCTGAGCCGAGAACCAGTCAAAAACAGGTAAAAAACGATCATTTCTGACCACTTTTTGACCCTTTCTCTTCTTCCGGACTCGAAAATCGCACGCAGCGGGTCAATTCCAAGCGAGCTTACTTGGTTCCGACCCGATCGGCTAACTATCTATTTTGACGCTAAAAATTTAGTTCATGTAACCCCTGTCGATTTTTCCCGATTTGGGACTGAAAAAAACATTTCAAGATCATCCTACGAAGTTAGAGGCGTAGAACCAATTCCGCACAGTCTTGGTTCTCTGCGAGGCTTCCTTAGCCGAAAAACAGTCAAAAACGAACTTTTCTGACCAATTTTTGACTCTTTGTCTAGAGCGTTTTCAGCGGACAGCCCGAAGCGAGGGACTCGCGGAGCTTTTCAGACTGGAGAATCGCACTTAGCGGATCAATTCCAAGCGAGGTTCCTTGGTTTCAGCCTGATCGGCGAACTTTCGATTTCGACCCCGAAAATTTAGTCCGTGGTTCGTACCCCTGTAGATTTTTCTCATTATGGGACTGAGAAAAAAATTTCGAGATATCAGTCGCATCCTATGTAGTTGGAGGCGTAAAATCGATTCCGCACAGTCTTGGCTCTCTGCGAGGCTTCCTGAGCCAAAGAACAGTCAAAAAGTGGTCAAAACGGAGCTTTTCTGACCACTTTTTACCTGTCTCTCTGGAGCGTTTTCAGCGTATAGCTCGAAGCGCGGGACTCGCGGAGCTTTGCCGACTCGAAAATCGCACTCAGCGGGTCATTTCCAAACGGCCTAACTTGCTTTCGGCTAGATCGGGGAACTTTCGATTTTGACGCTAAAAATTTAGTCCATGTAACCCCTGTCGATTTTTCTCGATTTGGGACTGAGAAAAAAATTTCAAGATTTCAGTCGCATCCTATGTAGTCGGTGGCGTAGAATCGATTCCGCACGCTCCCGACACTCGGCGAGGCTTCCTGAGGCGAGAAACAGTCAAAAACAGGTAAAAAACGAGCTTTTTCCACCACTTTTTGACTCTTTTTCTCGAGCGTTTTCAACAGAAACAGGTTTACAGGTTTGTAGAATCTTTTGGGATTTTGCAGTGCTTCCGCAGGGCCGGATTTATACCCACTTGCCGCCCGTGGGCCGCCCCCTTTTCATTCGTTTTGCAATATCAATACCAACCATCAAGTGAACAAGCCGGAGTAGGAGGGGTGCATAAGACGTGTTTATTCGTGTTGGGCACATTTTTGTGCGAAAGCCCTGTCAACACTAGCCAAAATTCACGGAACATAGCGCGGAAGTTAAGTTCCGTAAACCTACCTCTGTGTGGTCCAGGCCTTCCATTTATAAGAAATGCACGAAAAAATTATGAAAGAGTAAATATGAATGTGGTTTAATAATTTTAATTTCCGCCACCGCGCTAACCGCACTGTTTTTGACGAAATGCATTAAGTATTCATGCAGTCTTGTAGGCACTATGAGTCTCACGCCAACCGCTGCTGACCGCACTGCGTTTGACGCAATGCGTGAAGTATTCGGGGAGTCTTGAAGGCGCTAAATGTGTTTCATGCTGACTGGCGCGGCGCGCGAAGGGCTTCTCCTTTTCAACTCAAATCCTTGTCATCATTGCTCTTTGCGCCGCGTCGCTC